GCCCAATCATCTTCAGCAAAAGGCTATTTTATCAAAATAATGCAAAGATGATTACCATGACATTTTTCAAGAATTTAATTATATTTCAGAAGAGTAGATACTTACAGGTAATCATATTCAACAATTTTAATTCAAACATTTTTACTGAAGTCTGTGTAGTTCACTCAATTTCTGCAAAAATTTATTCAGATAAATGGCCCGATGCAGATTCGAATCTTTCAATAAAAGCATAAACTACAATGAAAACTTAGTCACATTATTTTCCAGTTCCATTATTGAATCAAGTAACTCAGAACATTACCCCATTTGCCCTATTCGACATCTTCTAAAACCTTTAAACACAGAAAACTCTAACCACAGATTCACAGAAATGAGGAGAAGCATACCTTGAAGGGGATTCAAAAATGTAGATGCAAGTGTGAGAAAGAAGAATATGGTTTTGGATTACTATGCAGAGAGTGAGAGTCAGAGAGTGCACATAGAGAAGTGGAATTTTTAGGTTGAAGTATGTGTGCGTGTTCACTTTAGGTAAAATTTATAGTCACACATGTGCACGTGACTACTTTTAAAATGAAGAGTGAACGTTACAACATTAAAGGCATTCAGCGTGGTTACTTTTTTTAAACATAGTGAGCGTTCTAGAGAGGTTGAGTTTTATGAGTGAAGAGCGCGTTGTCACTATTGCTGGGCAAAGTGACAACGTGCAAGCTTATTTCGTAAGCGTGATTACTTTTATCAATGAAAGGAAGAACGCACAAGGGATTTTTCATACTTACTTGTGCGTGGTCACTTTTTACAGCGAAAGTGAATGTTCCAGAGGGAGATCTTTCCTTCAGAGTCTATTTTTTAGTCAGCCTCTACGTGCTCACTCTCATCAGCGAGAGTGATTGTTCCAGAGGAGGGTGTTACTCTTCATGCTTCTGTGTGATCACTTTTATCAGCAAAAGTGATTGTTCCAAAGGGGGAACATAAAAATGCAGTCTCTGCGTGACTCCTTTCCTGAAAAAGAGTGACTCCTTTCAACAATCAAAGTTCTCTAAAACCTCAAATACCTCACTTATTCAATTCTAATCCTCTCAATACAAGCTCACAACATCAAATCTTAATTCATGTATCAGACTAACCTCAAAATACAGATGCAGCAGAATCACAGAATCAGAATTGTAGAAATTTAATAACGTGAATAATGAAAATTAGAGTGCAATGCAAAAACAGTAAAAAGGTTCAAAAATGTGAGTTGCCTCTCAAAAAGTGCTCTTTTAACGTCACTAACTTGACGCCTATTGATCTTTGATTCTAAGAGATGATTTTGAAGATAACGGCTCTTGCTCTATCCTTACACGTTTTTCCTTTTCCTATCCAACTTGCAACTCTTCATTTAATTCTGAACATGCAAAAAATAAAAGTGGAGGGACTTCCAGCAATTTAATATACTCATTAAGTTTCTTTCCCTCCTTCTCATTATCTTGGTATGTTACTGCAGCAAGGATCTCTCTTAGTATAGAATTATCATTCTATTTTCCCTACTTGGGATGCTGTAGTCCTTGAGGAAATAATTGCTACTTTTCTTTTATCTCTCCATTGATCTTCCATCTTCATGAACTTTGCTCAGGATTTTCTACAAAACCATGCTTGAATTATTAATTTTTATATAGGAAATATACAAATGCTAAAATAACTATGTATTAAAAGAAAACCTTCAATCATTCTATTTTTTATGAGTTTTTCTGCTTTTTCCAACATATTTTCCTTATCAAATGGACTAAAACTATAGTAAAATACTAGTAAAAATATGGATTCATCAAGTGTGGCCCGTGGTGCCCCCGCTCCTACTGTCGGTGTCACCACCACTCCCTCTTCCCTAAGGTATTTCTACCGTCCTCATCTTCCACACCCCCAATGTATCGTTGAACCATTCACAACATGTTACATCGACGTCAATCACGCCCCATTCAGACACATTGCAATATCAATTCTCAATACATGGCATAAAGCCCACAGTCATGCATAATACACAGCACTAGGCCCTCATTCGTTTTACAGTATACGGCACAGCCTATATTCATTCATATTACATAGCCCTTGGGCCCACACTTGTTAACAATATTCATTCAAATATACGGTACAAGTGCCCGTACCCAGTCACAACATAATTCATTTCAACCACAAACACAATATTCACCATTGTACAAGGCTCTCGGCCTACACTTATTCACATTACACGGCACATACATTGCCCTTATTTACTCACACAATACTTTCAACATAGTTCACATTTACATTCCTCATTCATCAAGTATTAGCATACTCACACCACAAAATCACCCATCATGGGTTTCCACATGCTATCACACCTCACAACACACAGCAAATTTTATTAAATACATATTTCCTACCCTCTATCTCACTCACATTGCAATATTCATCAAAATACACGACAATTAAACCCAAAGAGATAGGGTAGAGTCCTGCCTTACCTTGGATTGAAGACTCACACTCGAATTCAACCACAGAAGTGCTCCCCACACAGATTTCAACCTGAATACATGGAAAAATTCCATGAGAACCCAGGGAAATCATGAAAACAGAGAAAGGGGATGAAAAAATGAAAACCCTAACTATTAAAACTCACCTCCAAGCGTTCTCCACACGGATTCAATCTTCAATCTTGCTCTCAAATGGCTTTGGAGGCAATTTAATTGGTAGAATAGGGTTTTGGGTCGAGAGAATCAAAGAGATTTGGAAAGAAAATAGGGAAATGAAATCTCAATCCCTAAATCCCTTTCTAAAACCCTTCTGCTTGTGACACTCTTGCTACAGCGAGATATTCTCGCTGCAACGAAAAACTCAAACAAAATTGCACTCTAGTTTTTGTAGAATCTCACTACAGCGAGACCCTCTCACTACAGCGAGATTGCCCCAGAAATGCAGCTCAAACTGTGACTTTGTCGCTACAACGAGAGACCTCTCGCTACAGCGACAAGGCCACAGTTTCATCCTTCTCCCCCAGTGCCTTCTCGCTACAGCGAGAAAGGCACAGTTTCATGTCTCACGCCCAAGGGCCTCTCGCTACAGCGAGAATGCCCTGCAGCAACATCCATACTTAACCTATTTTCAGTCCAATCAATCCAATCCAAATATATATATATACACACACACACATCCATATACATTTTAGCCACAAATATCATCATTACGCATTCAAATGAAAATTACATCTTTCACATTTACACAGAGATATAAACACATATACATATATCAATAATAATTAATGTTACAAAATTCGAGACGTTACAAAAACACAATAAAATTAGAGGGATCAAATTAAACAAAAGCAATATGAGAACTAAAAGTGTAATTAAGTAAAAATAAATAAATTATTCAATTGGTCACAAAATCATTGGGCCACTTTCCATACAAATTACCTTCAAACTTACATACACATATTTATCTTTAAATATTTTTTATATTTCAAATAAAATTATTTTTAATCATTTTCAAACAAAAATATTTAATAAAAAATATAAGCAAACTCGTTGAATGATTAAACAATATAAAATGTTTTTTTTTAAATAAATTTTATAATGTTTAATTTCAATTTAACGTTCCTTTTAATCTATCTTTTTTTAATTATTATTTTTTATGTTAATGTATTGATTAATAATTAAACTTTAAAATTAAGAATATGTATTATATTATTATTAATTTTTATGTATGAAAGTTTTATAAACTAATTTATTTTCTATAATAATAACAAATAATAAATTTATATTGAAATCATACTTAGTATCATTTTTAAGAAAAAATTATGACCATAATAAAATAATATATATTTTCTTTACTTATGTTTAACTTAACCTACATGTTGCTTTTAATCTAGCATTTTAAATTTACTATTTACTCTTATCTATTAATAAATAATGAAAATTAAAAAAATTAAGAATATGTATTTTATTATTATAAATTGATATGCTTCATAATTTTGTAAACTAATTTATTTCTAAAGCAATAAAAAATTAAAAATATATATAATTTACTTTAAATATATTTCTTTATATTCAAAATATAATTATTTTTAATTATTTTTAAACAAAATAATTTAATAAAAAAATATAAACAAAACTCGTGCGTATATAGACAGCACTAGGAGTGCAGTGATTTTGATGGTATAAGATATACAGGTAATCATATATGCAAATCTAAAAAGAAAAATACTGTGTTGGATTGCAATTATTCCATGCCAAGTTTACTTGCTCTTTTATACTTGCTCGTCTACCCAGTATGTTTACATAACCTGCAATATAATGCTTTAAGCTTAACGATCTTAGATGTTGAGTTTATGTTTTTTAAATCTTTACTTGTAGTCTAAATCTATTTAAAAATAACCTTTGAGGTGTTTGTTTAAGTTTACAAATTTCGAAACATTCTTTGCAAAAGCTACCAATTACATATGTTCAACTTCTGTGTTATTTATTTGTACCAAGTCCAGAGCATGATTTGTGAACAATTTCAGAAGATATACTGCATCTGATTTAGCCTGCTCAATTACAATCTGAATTAGTTGTAATCCTTTTAAATTAAGTTAACAAACTTGAAAGAGATAATTTGGTTTTGCAAAGAGGTTTAAAGATTGGACTACAATTTAACCTCTCTGCTTCTACCCTTGTCAACTTCATAGTCAATCTCCCCTTCTTATTCTATTTGTCAACTTCTTCAACTTGTGAGGTTACCTGTTAGCAGGAAGTTAATAAAGTTGATTTTCTAAATCCTTGACTTGAATTAACATAAGGAAATTGGTTGCTATAATTGTTTCTTTTATATGTTGTATATATTATGAATAAAAAGCAATATCTTAATTCTGCATAACTATACTTCCTAATTTAGGCTCTACAAATTAGAAATTAGAGTCCATAAATGACATTGTACTATTTAAAGAAGAAATCAGAATCAAAAAGGGCATCAAGCCAATATTTCACGACAGAAAGTGTCTTCTATATCCACAAAACAAGTTGTATTTATAGTTTACCTTATTGACCAACCATAATGTACTTGACACAACATTGCCTTAATAACATGATTTCCATCTTACTGATATTAACCTCAACTTTGCAGAAGAGCAAGTATGTGCATTCAGATACAGACATACATGCATATGAAGTGGGCCTAAATTCATCTTAAAAATGCTTAATCTCTGATACTTAATATACCCTTTTGCAAGTTCTAGGATAAAATATCAGCAATGAAAAATATAATGACGATAAATTTGGAATATATTATTTATTTATTAACTGAAAATCCATCCTTGCTAATGCAGATACCACCATGACTGCAATGTCCGAAATCTTGCTTATGTATGTTAAAAAGCTGGGAAACAGCACCAATCATCTAAAAACTCTGAGCGAGTGATTAACACTTGTGAAACCTCCATCAACCATAAGATTGTCTCCACTTACATACCTTCCATCATCGCTTGCAAGGAAGAGCACAGCATTAGCCACATCATCAGTAGTGATTTCTACACCCTGCAAGTTGGCATTTCTGGCAGTAAAATCCTTAAAACTAGCAATGGCATCCTCAGTTCTCTCGTCCTCAGGCATATGAGCCAACGCCAAACCTGTGGCGATGCCATAAGGTGACACGCAGTTCACTCTTATACCATGTTTTCCCAGCTCAGATGCAACATTCTTTGTGAGTCCCCACACAGCATGCTTGGACCCTGTGTATGCATGTGGTCCTAAGCCACCTATAACACTTGCTACACTGGCTAAAGAAATGATTGAGCCCTTCTTCTTTGGGATCATTATTCGAGCAGCATGTTTCATCCCATGAAATACTCCCTTGACATTTATGTTAAACACCTTGTCAAATTCTGCTAAATCCACATTGCGGATATCGGCAATAGGTGTACCAGAAATGCCAGCATTGTTGACTATAATGTCAAGGGTGCCAAATTTACCCACAGTCAAGTCCACTGCATGGGAAACATCATCCTCTATTGTAACATCACAATGGAAAAAATGAACATTTGCTTCATCACCAAGGGATTCACAGACCTGCCTTCCAAGGTTGTCCTGCACATCAGCTATACAAATTTTAGCACCATGGATATGGAAGAGGCGGACAATGCTTTCTCCAATTCCAGAGGCCCCACCTGTCACCAATGCCACCTTCCCCAATAACCTGAGAAAATGAGAAGAGTATCAACATGCATGCGGTATTCCATAGATCCCCTTTCAACACACAAAGCAAATCCTCCAAAGATTCAAAACAAGTCCAAACTCAATTGGGTATAAGTTTAAACTTTGGCTTAGGAACCGTCGATCTGAGCATCGGAGGAACCATTCACCATTCACTGATGGGAGAGCCAAGAGCATGCATCAAAATAAGCCTAAATCCATTTGTAAGGAATATAGATCCAATAGTGAATATCTGACCAAGAAAATATCTCAAAAATTGGAAAAATTTTTAAAATCACTAACAATCAACACAAAATTTAATATGACATATAAAAAAGTTGACAATTCACTCAAACTAGATCCAAAACCAAAAGCAGAGATTGGTCACTTAAAATCAGTTGAAGACCAAGCAAGCATAGTTACCAATAGATTCAAAACTAAGAATAGTATATGCTGAACTGAAATGGATATTTCAGATTACAAAATTCTCTTGCCTTGGCGTTGGAATCGGAGCTTGAACAGCACGGGTAGTGGACATGGTTGTATGCACTCTCTCTTCACTCTGAAGATAAAAAAACATATAAAAAAAAAAAAAAAAGACGAGTGGTCTAAAAGGTACAAAAGTAAAAAAATTGACTAAGGTACACTGTCATGGCCGGTGTGTTTAAACTTAGAGAGAGTTATTTTAAGGTTGCTTAAAAACGTTGGCTTTTTAATCTATATTAAGAAAATTTTAAAATTTATTTAATGGTATTTGAATAATATTAAGTAAAAAAAAAACATGTGCCACCTTGGAATGTAATATATGTCAATTTTAAATTTTAAATTCAAATTTAAGTCAAGGTCAAACTAAAATTTAAATTCAAATGATAGTGTGTGATGTTTTTTTAATATTATTTAAAAATTATTGAATTTACCTATTTTAGTAATTAATTTTTCAATAATACTATTTTAATAATAGTTTTTAAAATTATCTTATTATGATTAAAAAGCCTAAGAATGTTATTTATGTTTTAGATATTTTTAGTAAAGAAAAAATTAATTGAAAAATGATTTTTAACTTGTTTTGATATATTAATATAAAAGAACTTTTACTTTGCTTTGAATTTACTATAGAAAAAACATAAAATTAGTACTAAAGAAGCTAGAATATTTTCATAAAAAGTACTTTTTGTATTTTAAAATTAAAAATATAATAAAATATTTTTTAAAATTTATATGTATTTAAATTTATTCAAACATTTGAATGACAAAAATAAAAATAAAACATAAGTTATGTGAATTAATAAAAAGTTTAACATGTTGTTCACTTTAACTTAAACAATACAAACAAAACATGAATCTAAATATCAAATATCCACATCACTAAAATTCCATATCAAACTTAAATGTCAAAATTTCAATGTTATTCATATCAATATAAAATAACTTTTTTCTTTCAATTTACTATAAAAAAAAAACATAAAATGAGTACTAAAGAAGCTAGCATATTTGTACAAAAAGTAATTTTTATGCATTTTAAAATTAAAACATAATAAAAATGTTTTCATTTGAAAATAATTTTTATTTTATCAAATATAAACTTTTTAGTAATATAAAAACATTAAATTAAATTGTAAAAAATATTTATATATACATACTCAAATAAAAATTAAAAAATACATTTTTATGTATTTAAATTAATTCAAATAGTCAAATGACATAAATAAAAAAATTAATTAAATTAATAAAAAAGTTTAGCATTTTATCATCTAATATCGATAGAAATAAAATATGAATCCAAATATCAAATATCCTGATACTAAAATTATATATCAAATTTAAATGTTAAAATTTTAATGTTGTTCATATCAATAAATATTAACTTTAAATAATAAAAAATATAAAAAATATGTTTGTGAATTATAATTTTTTTTAATTATATATTTAGTCTTATAGTTGACATATATCTACAAATTAATCCATATATTTAAAAAAGTTATATTTTAGTCTATAGTACATACAAGTATTTTGTTATGTTTCGATCTTTATCATTGTAAAATCATTAACTATAGAAGTAGGGACTCGAATTGTCTGCAGTTCTGGTGAGAATTGCATACTGCAGTTTTGCGTTCGCTTAATCAAAATATTTTTACTTAAGTGAATTTTGGTAAAAAGTGATTTTGGCTTAAGTTAAACAAAATTTGCATAACCTAATTTTGTTTAAGTTAGAAAAAATCGCTTAAGTAAAAGCAAAATTCTACTGTAGCATCTTCTTCTTCTTGTGTATTTTTGTTTAAGTAAATCTCCATTACTTTGCTCCCTCTCTTCTCCTCTCCTTCCAATCCAGCCAACCTCTTCCTCCCTCCCTCTCACTCAGTCCCTTTCTTTCCTCTTCTTCCCCACCTCATCTTTCTTCAGCTCACTCAGTCTTCTTTCCCCTCTCTTCTCATTTAGCTCTCCTTCACTTCCCTCCCCTTCACCCCCACTCATCCCCTCCTATTTTCTCCTCATCAACCCTTCTTCCTTCCTTCTATTAGCCTTCTCCCTCTCTCTCTCTCTCTCTTGTGTTCTTACCCCCATCTATGATCTCCATATCAGCCTCCCTTTTTCTCTTCTTCTTCTGATTTTTTTTGTCACTATTTTTAATTTGCTTAAGTGAATTTTTTTGGCTTAAGTGAAATTGGCTTAAGTGAATGTTGTTTAGCTTAAGCAAAATCACTTTTTACCAAAATTTGCTTAAACAAATGCAAAATTGCCAGCCTGCAGTTCCTGCCAGAACTGCAGGTGATCTGGGTGTAACGTCCCGAGTTTTGTAATCTTAATTATTGATAATTATATAAAATGAATGTATATTCATGTGTGTGTGTATATATATATATATATATATATGTATGTATTTATGTGTATGCATGACTGGTTGGGCTGAGTGCAGGGCGAGAAACTGGGCTGTTCTCGCTGTAGCGAGAAGGCCTTGGAAGGAAGAACCAGAACTGTCGCCTTCTCACTGTAGCGAGAGACGTCTCGCTGTATCTCACTGTCGCGAGATTCTGCAGAAATCAGAATGCAGTTTTCTCTGGTTTTTTTGCTGTAGTGAGGGGGCATGTCGTTATAACGAGGGTATCTCGCTGTAGCGAGAGTGTCGCGACTAAAGGGGTATTTGAAGGGTTAGGGCTCGAGAAGAGGGTTACTTTCATGATTTTCCTATCTCTCCTTCACGATTCTCTCTACCTAAACACATTCCTGCCGATTAAAAGCCCTCCAAGACAGATTAGAGGCTAGATTGAGGATTGGGGAAGTGTTTAGAGCTCTTGGAGGTAAGTTCTATGGCTAGAGTTTTGGTTTTCATCCCTTACTTTCATTTTTTGAGGTTTTCCTTAAGTTTCCTTGGAATTTCTGTGTGCCTTAGGGATGAAATCTATGTGGAGAAGCAATTCCATCAACGTTTCATGTCAGGTCTTCGTTTTTAAGGTAAAGAGAGTACTTTACTTTAGTTATCTTTGTTAGGAATGAGTTTTTTTTAACGAATATAGTAATGTGATAGAAATAGGAGGTGAGGTTATGTGTATTGATGAATTGTACAAATTGGGTTGAGTCTGGAGGTGTCAGACCTTCGGCATATTGTGTGAAATTGAGTGATGTGCTTGTGTTGGTTGCCATTGGATGCAAGGAAATGATGTGAATTATGTACTGAATATTGTGTGAAAATGTGGGCTCGAGGGCCATGTAATATGAATGGAAATAGGCTAGGGGTCGTGTGTCTTGAATGAATTGTGAGCTAATGTGCTGTGTGTGCTGTGAAAATGAAATGTGGGCCTAGTGTCGCAACTGTTAAATGTGGGCTATGTGTTGTATACTGAAATGTGTGTGACTGGGGCGTACAACGCCGTTGTAATGTGCTGTGAATGGTTCAGCGATACACTAGGGGTGTGGGAGATGAGGACAGTAGAAATACCTTGGAGAAGAAGGAGTGGTGGTGACACCGACTGTGGAACGGGTGCACCACAGGCCACACACTCTCGTCCTGACTAGACCTCTAACCATTACCTTTGCTGAGCGACCCGTGACTGCCCACGTGGTATCCGTGAGGCGAAGGTAACCGATGACTATTCATGGTGTAAATCTGTTATCACATTGTCAATGTGAGTGTGGCTGATGTGCGTATGCATGGGTTCATGATTTGTGTTTGTGGATGTGATAATGTTGTCTGTGCCTATTCTTGTTTAATATATTGAAAATGTGCTAGAAGTGAGATTCTATGCTTAATTATATGTTTTGGTAGTGTAGAGTACTCACCCTTACATTCATTTTTCAAGTAATTAAGACGATAGCACCGGACTCAGTGAAGGGACGAATGGACTGCTATAGAATTTAGATTTTATTTTGAAACTTGTTGTAATTGAATTAATCTTGTAGCAGTTATGTGATATTAATTTGTAACCCTTCACTTATTTTGAAATCATTATGAAAATCTGATTATCCGATTTGCTAAATTACTATTTAATTGAATTTAAAATTTAAGGTGTTACACCGGGTCCATAGAATTAGGGATGAAAATATATTAAGTTAAACTTTGTATTAATAGACTTTATTTATTTGATAATTTTAAAACTTAAGTCTGACCTATTATCTTTTATAAGCTTTTTATCAAGCGTAATCTAACCATATTGAGACCTTAAAATAAAAATTATTTTATTACTTTCAATTGGAAAAATATTTTATTAACCTGAAATAAAGAAAAAAAAATAGTGAAAGTGTTGCATATAATATAAATAAATATGCAAAAAGATGATGGATGAGATAAATCAGCTATAATAGACATAGCTGAGACAATAAATATAAATCAGTATTATGCATATAAGATAAATCAAACATCAGTAATACAAAAAACTCCAACAAGTAGTGTTCTCTCTCCCGTAGGTATGCATATCAGGGATACTCTCCAATTTCAATGAAATAATTAAGGTTTCTAATTTAAGATTTTATTCATTTTAAAATTTAGTTTATTTTATATAATATTATATTTAATTTTTATATAAAATTATTTTATATATTATTATAAATTTTATGAGTTTTAAATAGGTAATTAAAATAAATTTAATAAACTTTTTCTTAAGCTCAAACTTGAACTATTTAATTAAGTATTTTAAAAATATAAATTAAGTCTATTATTTAAATAGGCCAAATCTAATTAGATTTTAAAGAGGTTAGTCATAAGTTCCTATCAAATAATCTTACCTATTTCTATCCTTAGATAGAAGGGACCAAATCATAATAAAATTGTCAGGCTTGTGATTTATTATTGAGTAATCTATAATATTTTATACTTGTTAAATGTTAATTGAAGGATTATTTAGTATTAGAATATAATTAGATGGAGTTTAAAAATTTATTAAAAAAAAAAAGTGAATAGTATCATATAAAGAGTGCCAATGAACAGTAAAACTGCCTATGAACAGTACAAACCGTGTATGAACAGTAAAAAACTGCGTATGTACAATAATTGCTGACGTCATCAGTGACATCATCCTGACGTCACATGCGTGTACAGTGTGCGTGCACAGTGT